TCATTCATAATTCTCGTGTTAATAATTTACAAAACCTCCACCCTTTCCCACCCACCCAATTTCCACCGGATGTCTATTGTACTTATGTAATCTTTAAGGAAAAACCAGGGATCACGCTTAGACCGGAAGTCTATTCACCAAAATTACGCAACATTTAAGGAAATTATAACAAAGGCGCGCGCATCCGCAATTTAAAGTCAATTTCCCTTTGTCAGGGGACAAAGGGGGTGAACGTGTCCAGACGCACATCCACACCTGGGGGGCACACCTGCACCTGCACGTCCATTTCCTGGAAAAAAGGGGGGAGGGGGCGTGGGAAATTCCCCAATACTGGCCACTTACTACTGACTTTGATTTCATTTATACGTTGAATGATAGCGTTGAAGACATTCTCTGGACCTTTTGGACCAGAATTGTTGAGTTTTTTGAGTCACCAGGTTCCATCTGGTTATTTTCGTTGTGTTGGCGTCGAGTTGAGATGGCTCCGGGATGAGTTGGAGAGGCTCTCCGATGAGTAAGTGCCCTGGTGATAATACCTGCAGGTCATCAGGATCATCCGTCATTGGGACAATTGGCCTCGAGTTGAGACAGGCCTCGATCTGCACCAGGACCGTATTTAACTCTTCATAAGTTAATGTTGTGGTTCCCAGTACTCGTCGTAGATGGTATTTCGTTGATTTTACCGCAGCTTCCCACTTTCCTCCGAAGTGAGGGGCTTTTGGTGGGATGAATTTCCACTGCGTACCGTTGTGTGCCAATGCTGCTCTAATTTGTTGGTTCTCGGGAGGCTGGTGATTGTACAGTCTGTTGAGTTCGTTGGCTGCTCCCTCGAACGTTGTGGCGTTGTCACTGTACATTACAGCTGGAATGCCTCGCCTTCCAGTGAATCTTTTGTAGGCAACAATAAACGCGTTCGTTGTTTGTCTGTTGACCAGTTCTAGGTGAACGGCTGATGTACTAAAACAGACAAAAACAGCAATATGGACAGTTGGTGACTGAGCGTTCGTTGGTCTCCACTTGAGAATTGGAAGAGGTCCTGCATAATCAATTCCAGTGTGCAGGAATGGTCTTGAAGGTGTTGCTCTCGGCGTTGGGAGTTGACCCATCAGCTGTTGTGCTCGTGTTGTCCTGAACCTGGTGCAGACAGAGCAGCGAAGTATGAATGCTTGTACTGATTTTCTGCCTCCAACGATCCAGCAACGTTGTCTGATGTAGGCCATGGTGAGTTCCGCTCCTCCGTGTAGAATTTTCTGGCGCGCTTCGTTGATGATCAATGTTGTTAACCGAGATTTCCGTGGTAATATCACTGGGTGAATTTCGTCTGGATTGAGCAATGAGTTTTTCAGTCGTCCACCCAGCCGTAGAATTCCTTGGTCGTCTATTCTCGGCGTCAGTTTGGTCAGTGGATGTTTTCGAGGAAGTTGAGTGTTCTCGTTGAGGTTCTGCAACACAGATTCAAAATATTGATTTTGGATCACCTTTACCCAGAAGATCCTCGCTTCGTTGAATTCTCTCGTTGTTAGCACTGGCGTGTCTGGCGTTGGTTGTCTGCGAAGTCGTTGGATTGCTCGATTTATTGTTGCTGTGACTTGTAGAACCTTGGATAACGGGGAGTATCTGTTGACGAACTCTGCCAATGGATGCTGTCTTACTTCAGCAGCCACTGGGTGAGCTGATGCTGGTCTTTCTTCCAGTGAGACCTCCGTTGGAGAACTGATTGTGTCTTGTGGCCAGGCTGATGGCGGTTTGGCTAGCCAGTCAGGCCCGTTCCACCATAGGTGATGTTCGTTGAGTTGAGTCGGTGATATGCCACGTGAAGCACAGTCAGCGACGTTGTAAATCCCGCCAACATGTCTCCACACAGCTGTTGGTAATGCTTCCTGGATTTTCGTCACTCTGTTGTGAACGAACTCCTTCCATCGGGATGGATGGCTGTTGATCCATGCCAAGGCGACCGATGAATCGGACCATAAGTATATCTCTGCGTTGAGTTCCAACGTTTGTAGAGTCCAGCTGACTATTTTTGTCAGCAGGAGGGCTGCGGTGAGCTCTAGGCGTGGGATCGTCATTCTCTTCAGTGGTGCTACTCTCGTTTTCGCACACACCAAGTTGACTGTTGGTGTTTCGTTGCCTCGCTGAGTTCGTAAGTAGACGACTGCCCCCATGGCAACCGTCAATGCGTCTGCAAATCCATGTATTTGTATGTTGGTGATCGTTGGGGATAGGCTAAGCCATCTGTGGATGGAGAGCTGGTCGAGTTGCGTGAGTTCGTCCCTGAACTCTTTCCATTGTCGTACGTATTCAAGTGGCAGTTGATCATCCCAAGTTGATTTTAGCAACCAGAGTTCTTGGATTAATATTTTTCCTCGAACTATGACTGGTGCGATGAATCCAAGAGGGTCGAAAATCTGAGCTATTTCCGACAACAGTGTTCTCTTGGTGAAGTTCGTTGAGTTGAAGATCTTTGCTTTGTAGTGGAATGAGTCCGTTGATGGATGCCAACACAATTCGAGAGTTTTTATCATTGCCTCCTCGAATTGCACTGGCCCTGCCGTTCCCGTTCAGAAGTTGAGTTGCTCGAGTATCTCTGGGTGATTGCTCGTCCACTTCTGGAGTGGAAATCCGCCCGCATGGGTTGAGTTATCATTTCTTTTGTTTCTTCCTCTGAGTCAGCTCCACCATAAATGTCGTCGACGTAACGCCCTTTAGTTAGCGGTGGCACTGATGCTGGGAATCGTTGACTAGCTGCTGCAGGACTCTCAGCGAGAGCCATGGGGAACATTTCTGCCCCTATGTGACTGTGGTGAGTTGGAAGGTCACCAGTCGTTGATTTTCATCTCTCCACAGGATACGTTGCAGATCCCAGTCATCTTTGTGCACGTTGATTTGTCGAAACATCTTGACGATGTCGGTACCAAAGACGATTCGATGTCTTCTCAACCATGTGAGAACATCCATTGCATCCACTTGAAGCTTCCCGCCCGCGTGGAGGATGTCGTTGAGTGAGATGCCCGAAGTTGTTTTGTTGGAGCCGTTGAAAACCACTCGTAGCTTCGTGGTTAGTGCATCCTCCCTCAGAACCCCATGGTGTGGCAGGTAATATGTTGTTGATGGTTCTGAGGTTTCGTGTGTAGGTCGCATGTGATCTAGTGCTTCGTATTCGTTGATGAAGTCGTTGTAAAGCTTGCTGTAATCAGGATTGGCGTTCAATCTTCGTTTCACTGAATGGAGTTGATGAAGCGCCGTACTCCTCGATTCTCCGAGCGCTGTAGTTGACGTGCGAAGTGGTAATCGCACAATATAGCGCCCCGTTGTGTCTCGTTGATGAGTGCGTTGAAAGTGTTTTTCACACTCTCGTTCGTCTGGTGTCAGCTCGTTGGTTGCGTTCGTTGGAGTTGGTGGTTCTTCCTGGACCCAGAATTTTTGTAGAAGCTCCGTTAATTGTTCATTAGAGGATCCCCTTGCCGCGGAGAAGGAGGTCTTCGTTGAACAGTTGGCATTGCATAATGGACCGGATAGGATCCATCCAAATTTCGTTAGTTGGCCAACTAATTGATTGTGGTTGGATTTCTTGACTTGATGACCGATGATTTTCCCATAGTTGTCAGCTCCGATGATGATGTTGATAGGTCCAGGTGTTGAATAGGTCTCATATGCTGCAGTGATCCGATTGATGCAGATGAGCAATAAAACGTTGGTAACCGTGAGGTTAGCTTTTTGAGGATGTGGGCGTTGATCTCAACTTGTTGAAATGGCTCTTTCGTTGATTGGAGTGTGATTGCCACAATTCCTCTCGTTTTGCATGCGTGCTTTCCACCAATGCCGATGAGGTCGATTGTTGAGTGTCTTCGTTGTAGGTGAAGTTGATGGACCGGCTTTCCGCAATAAATGAAAGCTCTGAGCCTTGATCGATGAGGATTCTTGCAATGGTGTAGAATCCGCCGTTGGAGAATGCCCTGGCTTTTGCCGTAGCCAGGAGCACTAGTCGTTGATCCGTTGAGTTGATGGACAGCTTGTTGTTCTCTACGGTGATTGGCGTTGATGATTCTCGATCCGTTGATTTTTCATTGACGTTGTTGTTGATGTACTGATGAATGTGCCTGATTGAATGTACAAGGGGGATCAGTGTTCTGAGTGATGTATAAGAATATAATAAATCAAACACTCAGACCTGATTCCTCCCTCGTTGCTGGTGCCTCTGGAGCGTTGTTGGATGAGGTGCTGGATTCCCTCCTCTCTTGGTCCAGATGCAGCATCGTGTGATGGCGTTGTTGGCATTTAAAGCAAGCTTTGATGCACTTGCATTTTGCCACCGTGTGCGTGCCGAAGCAGTTGAAGCACAGGCGAATGCCTGTGATGTATTCCAACCGTTTCCTTGGTGGAAGGTTTTGGAATCCCGGGCACTTTCCAATGAAGTGCCTGTCCCTGCAATATGCGCAGCAATCAGCAGGTCTGGATTGTTGAGTGTCGTTGCCTTGAGGTGCTGATGTCTCCGCCACATGGTGCACATGTGCCGGTTGCGTTGGTTTCCCTTCTGGCGTTGGTTTCGTTTTTCGTTTCGGTGACTTCTGTTGATCATCTGGAGTCATGCCTCTGGCCGTTGACTCCAGGGAGTTGACAAGCTCTTGTAAGGGCACGAAGTTCGTTGAGGCACCCAGCGTTTGCTCCCATGTGGTGCGTGTGTCCGCCTCCATGGAGCGTTTGAGTAGGTGGAATACAAATTGTTCACCCAATTCTTCTTTGTGTATCCCAGCTGTGTTGATGAGCTAATCCACTGTCTCCCGTGCGATTTGAGCGTTGGTGATCATGGCCTTGGCATCTCCCTTGGCCATCGTTTGCAGGTTGAGCACCCTGTTGAAGAGATGCCCTGCAATTAAGCGTTGATTTTCATAATGCCGTTGTAGTTTGTCCCACGCCTTCTCATAATTGGCGTCGGTTGCTGTGAATGAGGAGATGAGCTCAGCTGGTGGTCCCTGGAGGGCTTCCTTTAGCCTCACCAGTTTCTCAGCTGGCGACATGTCAGGTCGCCTCCCCACCAGGTTCTGGAAGAGGTCGGAAAATTCCTTCCACTGCGAGAATTTTCCTCTGAACGTTGGCAAGTCGATTCTTTTGAGTTGAGTAGTCGTTGGGCGCTCAGTTAATTTCCTCTCGTGGTCTGCGAGTTGTCCCTTGAGCTTCCAGATAAGCTTCAAGGTCTCGCGTTTCACTTCTCCAGTCTCGAGGAATACCTTGCCTTTCATATAAATGTGCTCAGAGGGCAGGCTTCCGATGATTGTCTGGGATCGATCGGCAAAATCGACCCAGGCCTCTTTGATGTACATCTCCTGACCGTTGAGTTCTTCAATTCTGGTGTCAGAGGCTTTCATATGCCTCATTTCTTCGTAAATGCTGTTGAATTCTGTTACCTTATCTTCCAGGAACTCCAATTGGTTGAGGGTTCCTGGTGATACGGTAGTTGAGTGACGCGTGGTTGGTTGAGGGTCTGGAATCTCAGACATTCTCGTTTTTATTTTGTTGAGATCAGGTTGCGGTGGGTCTTCCACAGCATTTGCCCATTCTTCTCGCTCTTGTTGCTTTTCAGGAGCATGTACAATGATGGGAGGTACGTCATTGACCTCGACGTTGGGCTCGTTGATCTGCGTTGCTATTTCATGTCCATGTTCTGCCATGATGGTAAATGGAGTTTCCTTGCGTTACCGACCGTTGGGTTATCGACCGTTGAGTTGTCGATCGTTGAGTTGGCGTTGAGTCCGCTGCGGCCTCACTTGTTGAGCTCAGTCCCGATGAGTGGGGGACTGCTGTGACGTCGTTGCGAAGATAGTCGAGCACTCCCGAACTTTCGCACGCGCGGTCAAGGAATTTGAGGCACTGGAAAAAGTAAACAACCGAAAACAAAGGCGCGAGGTCAATAAATATGTATTGTTCTCGCGTTGGGTATCCGTTGGGATTATCGATTTTTCGAGAAGGACGTTGAGTTTCGGAAAATGGCTTGGCGTCCCTTTTCTGACGCCATTGAAAATTCGCGACACTTTCACAATTTTCACTATTTTTTCCGCACCGATCCGGCTCGAAGGACCAATGCTTGTTGAGGGACGTTGTTTGTGGGTGGTCGGGCGTCGGAAAATTGGAAATCGTGTGTTGGGATAAAGGTGATCAAGTGGAAAGAAAACCGAATTATAAAACACTGCGTTTTAATATTCACTTGTCGATATTATATACAAAAATATACAAAGTCGTTGAGAAAACGTTAGGTTGATTAAACGCGTTGAATTACGTTGATTAAGATTATAAATTAATCGTTAATTAACAAAGAGAAGTTGCACGTCGGTTAAGATCACTCGCGGTGTAACGTTGAGAGGCGTTAATGTACACGAAAAGTTGAGATGCTTATTAGGCGACGTTGATTGCACGAATATTCGTTGCTAACTGAAAATTGGGGGGTCCCATGGTCGTCGCTGACCGTCGGATCACCATACCGATGAACCCCGGAAGTGTCCGAAATTCGTCGGCTAATTGTCGTTGGGTTGGGGGGCGTTTTTTCATCTCTACTTTAAACAGTTATTTTTTGTCGCAAATCGAATTTGCAATAAAAAATATCTGATGGAAAAATGTCGTACGGCCCATTGTTTTTTTTATAACTTAAAAAAACTATGAAGCAGTTAATCGCAATTATTAAATAAACAATTGGATCGATGTGATTTTTCCATGAGATTATTTTGTTGCAAATTCAATTTGCAACAAATAATAATCAATGGAAAAATCCCAAAAACCCATTTGTTTAAGCGATAACTGCAAAAACATTTCCGTGGAGTGATGCGAGAGAGCGAGAGAGAGAATCGATGATACTGCTCTCTCACTCACGGGCGAAGGAAAAACGGTAGCCCGCTGCCTGGAAGGGGCGTCGCTTATACATGTGCGCCGAGCCACACGGACGTACTGCCGTTTAACGCTGCGGCGTCATTGGCTCTCTCATTTACCCCAATATCTCCGGGGCGGTACTTCTGATCCAGAAGTGGAAAAAGACTTTTCGGCTCAGAATCACCCCCTGTACATGCTGGTCAAGGATTAGCATGTACTTCTGTGACACCCTGTATACGTACCACCGAATGGTCATAATTTGACTGTATTAGATTGCATAAAATTAATTGTATAAATTTGAGAATAGATCAACGCAATCGTACTACATTGGAGTTACAGACACATACCGGTCTTTTTAGCAGTATTTTACGAAAAATAATCAGTGCCTATCTCAGAATTGTAACATTCACTCGATACTAAAATTTGAGGATGTGTTTGAAATTTAGAACGTCGTTCTCATATAATTTTTCGTTGTAACATTCCAACCATTGGTCGCCGCCTGCGCGTCGGAAGAGACATAACTCAAGTCTAGTAACGGTTCTACGTATATTTTACATATATTTTCGTATATTTTGCTACGTATATTTTACTACGTATATTTTACGTACATTTTCAGGCACATTGAAGAAGTGCGGAAAAAAACCCGATGGCTTTATCACTATTCAATCCGAATGGTTTCGGTCATGCTGGTGACGGCATATCAGAGTAATTCAAGCTTTCCAGAAAAAATATGTTGCCAATATACATTGGCGTTATTCTTGTACCATTTAAAATATACCAATTAATACCAAGCAATACCAATGGCTTTGTCGGTAGAACGACACTTGAGAATTACAATATCCACTAACCCAACCACTGCTGTGCCTTTTTCTGAAACATAGTCACACTTCCCGCAGCTAAGACAATTTTTAAGTAAGTCATTGTTCTAATCATAGTGCGTATATCCTTTTGGACTGCGCAAAAATTACGGATGTGCGATTTTGTATCAGCGTCACAACTTCGTCATTTGCCCTTTACTCGAGTACCAGGGGACATAGCTGTTACGTCCCTATAGATGTTGAGAGTTGGGATTTTAGAAGATGGACACTTTTGAGGGGTAACTCCGGTTGTCAATGGATAGCTATATTCTGTAGGTAGGTTCCACTAATAAAGGCCACTACGTGTGGCTGATCAATTAGGACACGAGGCGGTTTAACTAAAATTTGAACAGTTTTATTTGGATTTAAACTTCACTTCATTACACTTTCACAATGTTCATTTTAAGTAACTTATACAAAGCGCGATTTACTATTTTAACTGGTAAAAAACACATTGAATTGAATGAATCGTTTTAATTTTCTCTTGGTGAAATATGTTCCGTTAGAATTAAAGAGAACATAGTTTAGTCTTCTGAGTTGTGTCAGAGTAGAACTTTACGGTTTCGGAATTGAATTAGAAGTATAAGTGACGCTGGCAAATTTTGGAAGCGAGTCCATAGGGTTGAAGTTAGAGTTAGAGGATAGGATTGGCTGACAGGAGGTGGAAGGGAAGCGAGACGGTTGATTTTAGGTCAGCCGTCCAGTTGGAGTGTTGTGATTAGAGTTTTGGTGATTAAAATCAAGCTGCGTTTTTATCTTTTGGGGAAAATCCTGATCCCACGGATTATTGAGATTTGAGAGGGTTTCTTTACAATTTATGATATTTTAGAATTTCCGGGGTTTGCCGTGTTCGGATAACGTTTTTAGAGACTTGACAGTTATCTGGTTTTTTAATAGTTTCCGGTGATTTTCACGATGTACGGATGTAGAAGGGAAATTCTGTTTTTCGTTTCAGGAATAGTTATTATGCAGGTGTGCACTAAGTTCATATGAAATTTGGTCTTCAGTGTGGGAAAAGCAGTTTGATGCTTTTCCCACAAACAAATATCTTTGAAGTTTCAAATTTCTAGAATAGAGAAAAAGACACTTTTATGGTTGCCAATTTCATTTATTGAACTGCTGCAAAAATATCGTCTGAACGCAAAATAATTGTAAAGGGTTATTCCTCATCATTCCTCATTGCTGCATATTTCACATAAAAAATTATATTTATATTCCGAATGGATGAAACGTGGAAAATTCCCGCTTGACTTTGACCTTTCTTCCAGCTCTCATTATTGAACCTCGGGAGCCGCGTGAGCCCGATGAGCTCAGGATGCCGGGCTCTGCATGACAGTGTAGCAGGGCACGTATGAAAGCGTACGTAACAGCGTACAGCGTAGCCCAAGTTAATTACTACGAAATAATTGAAAAATCTTTTTTTTTCATTCAGCCCATTTGAAGGTCTAATAGAGGTCATTGCAAGTCCATTTATGACAATTGAAGGTAAACATTAATTTCCGTTTAATTAACAACTTAGTTAGGAGAAAGGTCCCCCCTTTTCTTCGTTTCTTTGACCATTGTAGGGTAAAATATCCATTCAATTACCTTCAATTGAATCAAAAAAAAAAAAAATTAATGGCAATTATTAAAAAATTCTCATGTTACCAGAAAAAAAATTCAAACACAGTTGCGGAGTACCCAGGCAACAAAACTATCCGATTGCCCAGTAAATTTTAGGGTATTTCATCTACCAATTTTTCGATAATTTGTCGGTGTTTTACCGACACAATGAGGGTAAATTCTACAGTAAGTGATGTCAGAATTATCGTTGAATCATTCCCAAAATTTTCCATAAAAATTTCCAATGACTTACCGATTGAAAGCGGTAAATATTGGAATAATTTTTGTCGTCATTTTTTTGAAAATTTTCCGGATAAATAGCTGTAAAATTCAGGATAAAATTTGTCGACTAATTTTCGTGAAAGTTCTGCGGATAA